CCGTGGTGCGCTCCACCTGCCGATGTGATGAATGCAGGTGATGAGAGCAGGGAGGAGCACCGGGCTGTCCATTAGAGAGCGCGCGGTAATACTGAGAAGTGTATACTCTTTTCAACTTTGTCACCTTAACCCTCAAACCGCTACGGGTCCAAATGGCTTTAACACCCACAGACGCAAAAAAAAATCTCTCGTCTTATAAAAGTGTTAATTTTTGTTCCCTGATCACAGAAAAAATAACAAAAAACGTAGGTGGCACATTTTAGCTGCAATATGGTAGGGAAGTCTGGCAAAAAAGGGGCATTGACAGAGCCTTCGCCAGACGAGGTCTACTCCGCTCGAGCTGCCAGGCAGCAGTTGCCACAAATATATTATTTCCTAATTATTTCAATGTCGCTGATTTTTTCTTAGTTTTTTGCAGTAATATTATTCAATACAGTGAATTGTGATATATTTATATAATAAAATGTGTGAACTATCGCTGTACTCAAAATTATGGTGTGCATATAAGTGTTCAATTATGTTCATAAAACAATAAACAAATAGTTTTGCTGTTATTACACTATATACACAAATTATATATAAGTATTTGCATATTTTGTTCACCATAACGAACCACTAGGTTGGTCTTGTGAGTCAAAATGCAACGAGGAGTGACCGCCACACACCAGCCAGCCACTCGCTGCCACTCCTTCCCACAACACCTCACTCGCCCTCATTCTCCTCCCACAATACTGTTTTTGTATTTATTCACTATAAACAGACATTATATATAAATATTTACATGTTTTGTTCACCATAACTGTACATCTAAGCTTGTATGGTGAGTAAAGGTACAAAGACGTAGCTACTCTTTAAAAAATGTGCTTCTTAAGATGCAGCGGTTGTGTGGTTGCACCACACAACCGCTGCATATTCTAGCTTTGGCCTAACAAAAGTCGTGAACAATTTCTTTAATATATCGCCATCCATGTATTTAAAAGCAATTCTGAAGTTAGAAAGCATGGCATAGGCTCCTCACACAATATTCTTTGTGGTCCTCAGGTGATAGTTTTCTATCTAGAACCACTCCTAGATTTCTTTCTTTATCAGAATTCCTTAAAGATTTCTCACATAATATATAGGTTGTGTGGGGTCTATGTTCTCCTATTCCACATTCCATAACATGGCATTTATTAACATTAGATTCCATTTGCCAAGTGGTGCTCCATATACTTATTTTGTCCAGGTCATCTTGAAGGGCATGACAATCATCTTAAGTTTCTTATCCTTCCTATTATCTTAGCATCATCAGCAAACATGTTCGTATACAGAATTATATGAACATGTTTGCTGATGATGCTAAGATAATAGGAAGGATAAGAAACTTAGATGATTGTCATGCCCTTCAAGAAGACCTGGACAAAATAAGTACATGGAGCGCCACTTGGCAAATGGAATTTAATGTTAATAAATGCCATGCTATGGAATGTGGAATAGGAGAACATAGACCCCACACAACCTATATATTATGTGAGAAATCTTTAAAGAATTCTGATAAAGAAAGAGATCTAGGGGTAGTTCTAGATAAAAAATTATCACCTGAGGACCACATAAAGAATATTGTGCGAGGAGCCTATGCCATGCTTTCTAACTTCAGAATTGCTTTTAAATACATGGATGGCGATATACTAAAGAAATTTGTTCACGACTTTTGTCAGGCCAAAGCTAGAATACGCAGCAGTTGTGTGGTGCCCATATCTTGAGAAACACATCAACAAACTGGAAAAGGTTCAAAGACATGCTACTAAGTGGCTCCCAGAACTGAAGGGCAAGAGCTACGAGGAGAGGTTAGAGGCATTAAATATGCCAAAACTAGAAGACAGAAGAAAAAGAGGTGATATGATCACTACATACAAAATAGTAACAGGAATTGATAAAATCGATAGGGAAGATTTCCTGAGACCTGGAACTTTAAGAACAAGAGGTCATAGATATAAACTAGCTAAATACAGATGCCGAAGAAATATAAGAAAATTCACTTTCGCAAACAGAGTAGTTGACGGTTGGAACAAGTTAGGGGAGAAGGTGGTGGAGGCCAAGACTGTCAGTAGTTTCAAAGCGTTATATGACAAAGAGTGCTGGGAAGACGTGACACCATGAGCATAGCTCTCATCCTGTAACTACACTTAGGTAATTACATTCTGAGACGCCTCCGACTAAGCACATAAATTATGTTATATGTTATATTAACAAATGTTATATTAACAAATGTCAAAAAGGTTCATTAGGCAGGTAGGCTGCTCCATTATAACAATTTTTCTTTGTTTCAAATGTGTTCCATTTGTTTTGCATTTGTCATTTACGTCTCAATAATCGAGCAGCCTACCTTACATACACTGAACAAACCCTTATGACATTTTCCTTTCTTCAAATGTGTTCAATATTTATTTTTCATTTGTCTTATAGCAAAAGGTTCATTCGGTGGTCGGCAGGTAGGCTGCTCCATGTTTCTTACATAAAAAAAACATAAATAATAAAAAAAATGAAGAATTTTGAAAACCAGAACAAATGTCAAAAAGGTTCGCTTGGTGGTCTACAGGTATGCTGCTCCATGTTTCTTAAATAAAAAAAAAAACGAAAAATAAAAGAACTGTTGAAACAATTTGAAAAATGAACAAATGCCATAAAGGTTCGTTCAGTGTTTGTCGGGTAGGCTGCTCCATTATTGAGACGTAAGTGACAAATACAAAACAAATGGAACACATTTGAAACAATGAATGATTGTCATAATGGAGCAGCCTACCCGACAAACACTTAACGGACCTTTTAATATGAAAGCCAAGGGCTGCTGGCTGGGTTAGAACTGCGTGAGCAACCATTTGTGGCACACATACCTCTGGCTCCCAAACACGTGTCCGACACGGTGTTGAAAGATTGCGCTCAGTCGGTGAAATTCAGACCTTATTATTTGAAGAACATAAGAGTCATAATATTGGTGAAGTTAGGCGCAATAAGGACGTAACACAATGGTCGGATGCAAGTGATACAGCACCTATGAGCATGATACAACGAGCGTATCCAGTTGTAGCTCTGAGCCCCACCTATGCCATCTCCAATTTATATAGATGATACATAGATGAATCGTTTTCTGCGTTCAGTGATGATGCATCTGATACAAGTAGCATAGATGAACAGTGTTAGCGGCTACCATGGTGGTGTTTTCCAGATATTTTCAAGAATACCTGAATCTCTTCCTGACTGACGGACACTCTTTGAGGTTAGCAAAATCTCTTCCTGTGTGGGACCTTACAAAGTGATCTTTACAAGACTACCTTACAAATTGATATTTTCCTATAATCTTTTCAATACTACCTTATGCTTTACAAGCTTGGCTACATACCACCTACAAATACTAAAGCCAAGGGTGCACGCGAGTGTGTTATTTGCAAGCACGCAGAACAATGAAACAGGAAGCAAAAATTTATCTGTAGCTGGTGCAACGCGAGCAAAGTCGTGCTGTGTACCGTGGACTACTTCGTTGATTATTACGCACCTCCAAAATACCGAGTGTGTTACTGTGTAAATAGTATGTGAATCTGTACATATTGTAATTTTAGTGAATTTTTACCACTTAATATTGTGACAATAAACATTTATTGTGGACACATTACTGACACATCTATCACAGTTCCATGGAAAATTTTGAACATTCTACCGTATACATATTGTAAAGGTCTTAAATGTGCATCATATACGATAAAAGAAACAAATAAAACCGCATTGGAAATACATAGAAAAAATATTTGAAAATATATGTGTGGCAACACGCAGTGCTTGAATGGCCTGCACGACCGTGTCTGGGAGCCTCACACATGGGCGACCAGCTCCTCATGACGTCACAGGGCACCTTGTCCACGTCCTTACAGTCAAAGTAAGTGGAATTTGGTAATTATTTTTACATAGACATGTTCAAGGAAGGTAATTTATCATTTTACAAAGAAAAATGATTTTTTTGGGTACATTTGATGTCATGCACACTAGGGGAATTTCACAATAAACACAGTGCATCACAGTGGTTAAATGGGGACATTCATTTTGTATGACGTCCGTTTCACATGACGAACACGGAATGGATTAAATTCGTTATTCGAGGTACCACTGTACTTACTGGGCACCTAGGGAAGGTAGCCCTAGGTGCCCATGCAGCCCCAGTACTCCTGTGTTACTCCTGGCTTGCACACCACCAACATGGTAATAACACCGCTAAGCAGCACTGCACAAATAGTGGAGCCAGTGCGATCGACGGTCACCAACACAACAGTCTCTTGAACTGAGGAGAGTTGCCGGCATGGAGGTCTGGGACCCCCCCGTCCCCCTCCCGAGGAGGGGGGGTTGCGAAGACGGATGCGCGGCGGTTGTGGTGACATCATGTTTGTTTCCTTGTTTTTAATTGAGGAGTTCTGTTTGCTAGTTCGGCTTTTGATTTGCAATTTTTGACCAGCAGTAGTTTGTTTTGGAATTCCTACCTTTCAGGGTGCCTGACCTGGTAGATGGCAGACAAAGACTGCTTCCAATTACACGGGGGGTGTCTTTAGGCCATTGCTCCTCGTGCTTCTCTTGAGGGGGCCAGGTTCTGGCTCTGGTCCCTGGTAGGCCTAGAACTCCTTCGATTGACTGTTGCCACGATCTAATATATACACATCAGCCTGGTATAGCTCTGGGGAGCTGAAGGGGCTCTCCACAGAAATACATATTAAATAGATTTTCTGTGATTTTTGTTTTGTTGATAGTGGATGTAGGACCTATGTTATTTTCACATGGAGGGGAGGGACAGCCTGGGGCTGATGGGTAGAACGAATTCCACTTTGAAACGAATCGGCCTCGCCCCATATAGTTCGTTCATGTCAGGATACACTGTATGTATGTATGTATGTATTGAGTGGTTTCAGGAAAGATACTCCCATCATATACGTGTGTATTGTGCAGTTTAAGGGTTAATTTGTTTTGTATTATTTTTTCAGGCATTTATGATGGTGAGCTACGTGATGGAAGTGGAACAGTTGAGGCTCTGCCAGCTGAATGGGAACGGGAGGAATTGAAGGATCTTGATAGCGAAGGCCGTGCTGTTATCACACAACATCTCATTAAGGTACTATGCATCTAAAAAACCCAGCATTGAATGCAATTGAAATGCTTCTTTTTGGTTGGGCCTCTGTGTCTTGCTTGCACACCAAGTATGGCATTACAGTGCATGCATGCAAAGCAGACATTAATGCCTGAACTGCACCAGCCAACAAATGTCATGTTGAGAATAGTCTGTTTTTTTTAATTAGGCTATATTTTAATGTTTTTTAATGTTTTCATTGCTCTTTGTGTTTTGAAACGAAAACAGTTTAGTTTGGAAACATTTTGACATTAATTTTACCAGAACATTTATAAAAACCAGCAAAAATATGACCTTAACAATTGCACTCTGAAGTTTTTTCCATAAATAGGTGTGCAGTGCAGGGGTTAAAATTAAACTTTGAAACAATATAGTATCCACTCGATTTAACGGCCCATACAGGGCTGTACCCTGGTCGTTATTTCCGGAGCTCCGGCATTTTCGAAGTTAAGTGTTGGTAATTTTTCAAGTAACATTCAGGTAAGATATATTTTATACAGACAGCCACTGGGTCCACCACTCTAGTGCCTTCTACCCTGTGACGTCACAGATTCACGGCACATTGTTTTGTCACGAGGCTGGAGTATTCATTCAGTGACTTTGTTGGACATATCTGCACAATCAAGGAACATCCGAGCACCATGTTGGCTCCAAATGCACTCGTTGTGTCAGTGATTGCTGACTGGTGGGTGGATGGCTAAGCAGGCAGGGATGGAGAGGCTGATGCAGGCGATGAGTCACAATAACGTGGCTAAAGTATGTTGACCAGACCACACACTAGAAGGTGAAGGGACGACAACTTTCGGTCCGTCCTGGACCATTCTCAAGGCTGAAATGTAGACAGGCAGGCAGGGAGAGGCTGGGAGGTAGGCAGGAAGGGAGAGGCAAGGAGGAAGGGAGGGAGGCAGGCAGGCAGAGCTTGGGAGGGAGGGAGGCAGGCAGGCAGAGGCTGGGTGGTAGGCAGGGAGGGAGGCAGGCAGAGCTTGTGAGGGAGACAGGCAGGCAGAGGCTGGGTGGTAGGCAGGGAGGGAGGCAGGCAGAGCTTGGGAGGGAGGCAGGCAGGCAGGCAGGCAGAGGCTGGGTGGTAGGCAGGGAAGGAGGCAGGCAGGCAGAGGCTGGGTGGTAGGCAGGGAGGCAGGCAGGCAGAGGCTGGGTGATAGGCAGGGAGGGAGGCAGGCAGAGGCTGGGTGGTAGGCAGGGAGGGAGGCAGGCAGGCAGAAGCTGGGTGGTAGGCAGGGAGGGAGGCAGGCAGGCAGAGGCTGGGTGGTAGACAGGGAGGCAGAGGCTGGGTGGTAGGCAGGCAGGCAGAGGCTGGGTGGTAGGCAGGCAGGCAGAGGCTGGGTGGTAGGCACGGAGGGATGGAGATGGATGGTAGGATGGAGATGGATGGAGGGATGGATGGATGGAGGGAGGGAGAGAGGGATGGAGCTTTGGGTTTGAGGTGAAGCAGAGAGAGCATGTGTATGGGAAGTATGGAGGGGAGGGGGGTGTCGGTGGTGGGGAAGGGACCGGCTCGCTGATACGCCTAACACACTTGACGCAGTTAACCAGATGTTTGGATGGAAGGAAGGAGGGAGGGAGGGAGAAAGGGAAGAAGAGAGGAAGGAGGGAGGAAGGGAAGGAGGGATGGAGGGGGAGGGAGAGATGGAGGGAGGGATGGTTGAATGGAGGGAGGGAGCTGAGGAGGGAGGGAGGGATGAAAGGAAGGAGGGAGGGATGGATGGAAGGAAGGAGGGAGGGAGGGAAGGAGGGAGGAAGGGATGGAGGGGGGAAGGGATGGAGGGGAGGGAAGGAAGAAGAGATGGAGGGAGGGAGGGAAGGAGGGAGGAGGGGGGGATGGAGGGAAGGAGGGAGGGAGGGAGGGAGGGATGGAGGAAGGGAAGGAGGGATGGAGGGAGGGAGAGAGGGAGGGAGGGAGCTGGGAAGGAGGGAGGGATGGTTGGATGGAGGGAAGAGGAGAGGGCGGGAGGGAGGGAGGGAAGAAGTGAGGGAGAGAGGGATGGAGCTATGGCTGTTGAGGTGAAGCAGAGACAGAGCGTGTGTATGGGAAGTATGGGGTGGGGAGGAGGGGTGTGTCTGTGGTGTGGAAGGGACTGGCTCACTGATAAGCCTAACATACAGTAGTTGACCCAGTTGACCAGATGTTTCTTAATTAAATTCTGGATGTACATCATATATATTTTTGCTTACATATTTTGTTTAGTAATATTATTAGGATAATAAAAAGTTATAAAATACTTGTTTCATGAATGCTTTATTGTATTAGATGGAGATTCTCCAGGCTGTTTCTGGCTGGCTGGCAATCTACTGAGCCATTTCCCAGAAGGGTCTTGGGTGGAGGGGGAGGCAGAAAATGAGGGTGTAGGGGGAGAGATTCAGTGAGGGTGAGGGAGGGGATGAAAGGGGTAGGCGGCCTGCTTGCCATGTGAGGACCCTCTGATGCCTAGACAAACTCATTACCGACCTTCGGTAATGTCGACCGCCAGACCATTATATAAGGCTCTAAATACCGGTCGTTATTACCGGCAGATCGGTATAAAAGAGGCTGTTAAATTGAGTGGATACTGAGTAAATGGCACCTCAATAATCTGGAAAAAACTGGGGTCTGCTAGAGCCAGTGACTCAAGGAGTAGTCCACACTTGGGAACATCAGTGATAGGACTGAACCCTGTTGACTTGGGAAACCAGAGCTCCTGGTGGTTCTATTACTTGGCTGTGGCTAGCTGGAACTATGGGATTTACAACCCATTCTCGCACTTTCTTACAGTCAATATTGACTTATTAAATAAGTGCATATGTGACATACTAATTTATTGTGAATATTTTAGTTTACCTTGAAAAGCTTCATAGAAAACACCGACCTTACCTAACCTTCTTAGTATGTTAAGATAAGCATCTTATTGCTTCGTAATTACAATTATTACTTAACCTATACCTATAATAGGTTAAGTAATAATTGTAATTACAAAGCAATAAGATGCTTATCTTAACATACTAAGAAGATTAGGTAAGGTCAGTGTTTTCTATGAAGCTTTTCGAGGTAAACGAAAATAGTCACAATAAATTAGTATGTCTCACATGCACGTATTTAATAAGTCAATATTGACTATACGAAAGTGCGAGAACGGGTTGGGGATTCAACCTAAATTCTGAGTGGATTGTTTGTAGTTGTGTTTGCTGCTCATTTCTGCTGTGTTAACCTTGCTCTGTCTTTTTTGCTTTTCTTACTTTCTGGATGTTTCTTTGGTGAGAGTGATCATAACAAACCTCTGCTCCCTGAGAATCTGTGAAGGGACCAGGTTCTGGATTTGGTCTCTGATAGGCCATTGAGTACTCCTTAGGCTGATGCAATTACCTGAATGTAGTTACAGGATGAGAGCTATGCTTATGGTGTCCCGTCTTCCCAGTACTCTTTGTCATATAACACTTCAAATCTACTGATGGTTTTGGCTTCCATCACTTTCTCACTTAGCTTGTTCCAACCGTCTACCACTCTGTTTGCAAAAGAAAACTCTAATGTTTCCTTGAATCTTTGTCTTCTTGTTTGTGATGTTGCAGGTTTAAGGAATTACTCCTTGTCAATTTGGTAGAGTCCTATTAGAATTTTGTATGTGTTCATATTACCTCTCTTTTATCTTAAAGTTTTGGCATGTTTAACCACCGTGCTGCACCGAGTTTATTGAAAAATTTCCCCCATGCGCATGAAATCAAGTGTTCCCCCCCCCCCCCAAAAAAAATATCTTATTAAAATAATGAATTCCCTTCCCCGAACAAGTTTATATAAAAATAAATGTCAAATTCCATTATTTTGGCTGTGAGGACTGGGACAAGGTGCGCTATGACGTCATCAAGGGCTGGTCGCCCATGCGGGACTCGCCGAGACACGGTCGCGCAAGCCATTCAAGACCCGTCAGTTGCCACAATTATATTTACAAATATTATATCTATGTGTTTTCAATGCTTTGTAATATTTTTTTCATATCGTATCAGATGTATATATATGTGTCCAGACAATGTATATAAAGTTTAACGTTCATAATGTTCCGTGGAACTGTGATACATGTGCCACAAATGTTTCCTCAATAAATGTTTATTGTTGCAATATTACTTGTTCTACATTCACTAATAATACATTATATACAGCTTCACACACTATTTACAAAGTAACACACTGTATTACACTCTTAGTACTTAGCAAGCGAGTGATATTCAAAGAAGCAGTCCATGAGACACAACGGGACTTTGCACTCGACGCATATGGTACACACAGATTTTCGCTTCTCGGTTTTCGTTCTGAGTTCGTGCAAACAATGCACTCACGTATGCCTTTGGCCTTAGTTCCTGTAGGTGGTAAGTAGGCAGGCTTGTGAATTGCAAAGGCCTCTTTACCAACCAGTCTGTTGGAAACTAAATGTGCTCTGGTTGGGGCATGATAAACTGTCCTTACCCTATCTTCCTGGCCATACTTGACAAGCAATTGCGACAGCAGATCATGACCAAACACTCGAATTGATGGTTTTTTGCCCGTTTTCATCAAAAACATGTTGAAATAGTTGAGCACTGTCATGTCCACAAGATGAAAGAAGAATTTCCTTGTCCACTTTACACTTTTGTGGACACACGGTGACACCAACCATCATGTCACATTTATCTACAAGTCTCATATTTATATTGTAGTCAATGATACAATCTGGCTTGTACAATGATCCATCACCTCGATACCTCACTTTGCCACTGTCAAGCGTGTCACCAGTGTGAATAGTTGACAACATATTGACTTCACGTTGTCTTTCCAACGCACTGCTAATATTTTGTCACATTTTCTGAGTTCACAATCACCTACACCAATAATATTTTCAAAAACTGGCATTTCTTTTCTGTGCCTTTACAGAAAAAGTCTTTACAGTGCCAAACACTCCTGTGTTATGTTCAGGCAAGAACTTTGTTAGCAAGGGGCTCGTATAATAATTGTCAGTGTACAGAAT